TTCTGCCCCTCCCTGCCTAAAACTTCCTTGAACTCCCTGGGCCTACACAGCTTCATCTGCTAAGGGGGGATCTTGGTCTCTGCCCTGCAACCTCCAGGGCTCTGGAAAGCTCAGCTGTGACCTCTGGAGCTCTCCCAGGCAGAAGGGGGTGATCCCTCATGTTGTAGTCTATACCAGAATGGTGGCAGTTAGCTCATGTTTGGCGTGTCTTTTTTTCCAGGGGACAGAAGATAATCATGAACTTCCATCTGCCAAAGGTCGCAAGGTGTTGAGGAGCCTGGTGGCATATGAGAACGGCCTACCCACCGAGGACGGGTATGGCTGCTCTTGTCTCTCTGGGGCTTCATGTTCGAAACTGCCAACAGAAGCATCTTGCTTGCCCATGGCCCAGGGTTGCTCTGGGGTAGAGGTGTGGATCTGGTGTACAGCTGAGACCTAATTGGGTCTGCAGTACAAATGGATAGTTTCCAAAGAAGTGTTGCTCCACCCACATCTTGGGCAGACCAAATGGAAGCTGGTTCCTGCAGGCTTGGCCAAGGGAGTGCCCTTCCGCGAGTGCAGGTGGGGCTTGTTGGTCCGGCCCTGTGCGAGGTCAGCCTCTCTTCATTCACTTAGATCAGCAAATCCTTTGGGCACCAGATGTGAATGCGCAAGTAGGGCATGGCCAGGGCCTCGGTGGGGGGGGGGCCTGGATTAGTTCAGAGATGGAGTTGGGGCACAGCAGGCCAGAAGGCCTGGGCTGAGGGGTTGGAGGGTGGATCCTGGGAGCAATTAGAAACCAAGCAGGAATCCCATGGTCATTCTCTAAAATTTAGCCATTCTGCCATGTCTTGGGAGGATGCCATCTGAACTCAGCTGGACCTCAGAAGAAGGCCTACCCCATCTTCAGTAGCAGCCTCCTGCTTTCTCCCACTAGGAGATCTCAGCCAGGAGCTCCAGTTCCAGGGCCCCCTGCAGCCTCCTTCCCTGCTGTGTCTTTGTTTAGGTTTTGCAGTCTTCACCTGGACCATGCCTATTGGCCTAACAGGCTCAGCTCACTTGTTGTCTTCTCTCAGATGCTCTCTGACACTCTGTACTCTCCTCCCCCCATCCTCAGGGTGGACAGCTGCCCCTCTCCTTTATGATTGTCTTCTATTAGTCCATGACCTCCCTAAGGCAAACACTGTGCTTCTGGTCGTTCTCAGTGCTCAGCACGGCTCTGAGCACTAAGTAGGCCAGGGTGTGAGGTGTAGGAATGAATGACAGATTGGATGATGCGGAGCCCTTTTGGCTGGGAACTGGGTGTAGAGCACGAGCTCAGTGACCCTGACTTTGAATGTGGGGTGGCAGTTTTCTACTGAGCTGCTCTTGTGCTGATTCAATCAGGCCACGGCGCTCAGATGGGCGTGTGATCCAAATGTCAGGGAACAGAGCTTCATAACCTTTCCCCAGTTACTAGAGCAGACCTGGCCAGCAGGTGCAGGATCCAGCCACCAGGGAGAAGGTGGGTCCTGATGACCCTAAAGTCCTTTCTCCAGTCTTGGATTAAAAGTGCATCAGTTGGAGCTCAGTAGTTGAGCACTAGAATGTGTGAGCCTCTGGGTCCGGCACCACAAATGAAATAAAGAAGAAGAAAAGAAATGTGTACCAGTCATCTTCTCGTGAACATTTACCCGTCACTTCAGCCTTTCCTGCCAATTTTGCACATGTCTCCTGAAAGGGGGGAAAAGGCAGGAAGAGAGAGCTCTGCCTGCTGGCAAGAGGATGGGGCCCTAGGCAACCACATCATTGTCCCCTGGGGAAGAGACTTTCAGAGTTCTCCATGCCAGTGTCCCCAAGCGGCGGGTAGAGGAGAAGCTTGGGGA